CTTCATGAAAGGTTTCCCGAGGAGATCCACTGGGATGGAGGCTTTGGTTCTGGGGGGGTGATTTACAGAGCAGGGAGCCGTCAGGCTGTAAACAAAGCGGACAATCTTGTGACGCCGTCTTGATTGAGGCCTGGAGCTCTGCGGCCTCATGTGGCCTTCTTTGGGGTGGGGTGTGGGGGGGGGCCCTTTGTGGAGCGTGCAACAGCTACGCACAGCCGCCATTTGTCACTATTTCCGACATCTAGATTGCCCATGTCGGAGCGTTAACCCCCCCCCCTCGGTTGCAGCCCGAGTCGCCGGCCTACACACAGGGGCGGGCACGGGCTTGTCAAGTTAAAAAGGGAATGTCACAAAGTTGTAAACACTTCCTGACAGGATGGGAGCACTTCCTTAATCCTGGAGCAACCAAGCCGTTCTTTCTTCTCCACCAAGTGACTGCGGGTCGGGTTTCTTTCCCCTCACATCCACCGAGGCGAACGCAAACAATTAAGTGTGACCGCGGCGACTAAATTGTTTAGCCGACTTGTTTCTCGTTCACAAAAATGAAAGTCTGGATTCCCACCGAGGAGAAATGGAAGTGCTCGGCTTCCTGGCGGGCTCGCGGATCACTCGGCTGCTCTGTTTGCCAGACGGAAGTCTGACCGCCTCCTGCAGCGAGACACGAAAACAAGAGCCTGCAGCTCACATGCAGACAGATGAAAAAGGCAAACGAGTTCTCTGTGACCTCTGCGGTGCATCGTGTTCTCATCTGGAACTGACTGTTTGGTTGCAGCTGAAAGTTGCCGCGGTGATTTCTGATTTTTATAGAGAGACGTGTAAACAAGTCAATGCCGGATTGTCAGATTCTTCCCGTTGTGCCTCAGATGGCATCCAAGCTCCAGTCTCCATCTATTCATTTTTAAATCAGTGAGTGACAATCTGCCTGACCGACCAGGACTCACTCCGTCTTGACGTAGCTACGCTACACACACAAACAAGCACACACACACACACACACACAGTCATTAAACAAAACCGAACCATGTGTCTACAACTCCCCGGGGCCCGGAGCTGCAGCCCCAGTCTGCAGGCTAATTGTGACCTGGTGGAATCATGTGACTGATGTTCCAGTGCACTGCTAGAAAAAGCAAATCGAGCAACAAGCACAACAGACTCCATCGGGACTCTTTAAAGTGGAGAGAAGGCTCCCAGATGGAGGAGAGAGGGATAAAACAAGCAAACAATGGCTAAAAGCCACCGTTTCCGAGACCTGTATCATCCAGGCGCATGTGTTTGTATATCAACTCAACCGTGAATAGTCGCTGCAGTTGCTGATGCTGGATTACAGTGCGATCACAAATTATGGAATTTTGTGCATTTACCAAAATGATATCTTGACAAAAAGCCAGAACCTCTCGGTGCTCAATCGAATAGGCATTACATCAGCGTTTCCAGCATATCCTCCAGTACAGGATGACTTCATTCCGCCCCGAAGAGGCGGGGCTTAAACATGTACACTGCCTAGGCCCCGTCTTCCTTCCTTCCTTCCTTTTTCAAAGCGCCCTTCCAGGATCCTCGTTCGGGTCGCAGAAAGACGTTGTAACGCGCTCTCGGGCGGTGAAGTGAGAGAGTCGAGTTTGTTTGTCACGAAATGAACAACTGGTTGTATTCTGAGCGGCGGGTCATTGAACCGGACTATGTTGTAGTCCTGAAGTAGCGGGGTGACCTTGAGGAAAAATGCCTTATCGCCTGCTTGAAATAGTTCAGGAAATGCATGGCATTCTTTGACAGCTCAGTCAACAGCGGGTCATACAGGAAACAAAAAAATACCACAATAACAACATGCCAGCAGTGTCAAAGTGTGGCCTTGAATCCGTTACACTATGACTCAGAGTTGCTATAGCAACACATTGTTTGTTATTCTTACGCAATTTGTCAAAATCTTCAAAATAATAATCTCCTCTGCCAAACACATTTGTCACTACGGAGCAAAAACAAAAGAAAGAATATCCACCTGAGGCATGTGTAAAAAACAACTTTCACACCAATCTGTTAATTATCTCAAGCTGGGTAACAACATGTGACATCATTTCTCTAGTACATCCGGCCTTTTTGAAAGAGTTCTTCGGAGGAAGAAAACACGTCCGACACCGTGACTTTTCACACAGGTGAGTGTGTGATTAGAGCCATTACATCATTAGATCCTGCAGCGCTCTGACATCCAGCCCTCGACCTAATCATCCTCTGTCGGATACAGAGAGGCTAGGAACTGCTCTTAAAAGCGCTGCTGTAACTAAACATGATGGTGCTCTGATGTTTTCATCCATTTTTTGGGGCTCCCTGAAGAAAACCACTCTAACTCATCTAGGTGATATTGACATTTGCGCTGGACATTTTCTCCCATAACTAGCGGAGATGAGAGCGCAGCGGGCCGGTGGGATTCATAAAACTCCACTGATGCCTGGAGAGCCTGGGTGAAAGGCCAGAGCGAAAGTCGGCCCATCTCTAGCTCAATCTCACCATCACACACGAAAAAGATAAATGAAAGGGAGCCAAAAAGAAATTCCACAACAAATGAGGCCAGATGTAGCTGGAGTGTGAATGTGTTTTGTACAGATTGCTATTAATGCCATATGACACATTATCTGCTATGAAAGACACCGTCTGCTGCAGCAACTATACGTCTCATATTTCACGTTGTCGGGGCTGAAATCAGTCGTGTTTTTAAATCACAATATTAGTGTTTTGGCTCCACTTGTAGAGGGGCGCATACGTATTATACAAACAACCCACGGTGTTAAATGTGAGCTAAGATAGAGCTCAGCAATGCGAAATATCTTCTGCCGGTCACAGACTCGATTGTAGAGTGGTGACGATCGTCTCACATCAGTCTTCTAGGATTAAAATAAAAAGTGCCTTCTAAATGGCCTCTGCAGAACAGACTCATTTAGAAATGCCCTTGCTGGCAAACCAACAAACCTCCACCAAGTTATGTTTGTGATACCAACAGCTCCCCCCCCCCCCGCGCGTGCTCATTTAAAAATGCTGCGCAAGGCCTTGTAAAAATATTCGTAGAAGGACACAGCACGATGAGCCGAGGGGGGGGGGGGTCTGTCTAGTTAAAAAAAATAGGGACCCCGGGGCCACGAAGGGAGCCGACGTCAGATTGGAACAGCGCTTTCCCCGGTGCACAGACGGACACCGATGACGCGCCGCTGCCCGCGCTCACACATCTCCGAGCGGAGCCCGTCATCACTTTTGCGTGTCCTTGAGGAGTTTGGGATGGTGCTGAGTGCAGCGATGAGCTGGGAGATGAGGCCGTTAATTAGCTCGGCGGCGATAATTGATCATCTCTCCCTCAACTCGTTCTACCATGAAGGGCTTGCCAGCGATCAAAACAACAACACATTTACGAATGCCTTGGAAACTCAAAAAGGGGGGGGTAAACAACCTGCACCAAAAACTCCAAACGTGGGAAAAATCCACTGAATAAATCGACACTTCTAAGACGATGACTGCAGAAAAAACAACAACACACTGAGATGAAAAATCCAGCAGATACTTTATATTATGCAGTGCATCATTGCATATATTAAATAAAACATATTTATCCCGCTAGGAGAAGCCCAGGGAATAGAAATGGACTCTTGTTGCTGCTATTGGCATTTCAGGAATTAAGTCAGCACTGACATAATTAGCATTCATGAGTCAAGTAATTAAAACATCGATGTAACCAAGCGGTGCTGTTAAGACACTCGTGTGCTCTCTGCTGACTCTCCAACAGTCAGCGTTTAGTCCGTGCACTTAGAACGGAGACTTTTCCGCATGTGGGCCACAAGCCAGCAATTGGCCTTGTTCTGTTTTTGTTTTTTTAAATGAACGTCAAAAAATGACAAACAAGAACACATTCAACCCTAGACGGAGGGGAGAGTGTGTGAAACCAACTGCGAACCAGCGTGTCCTCCCACTGAAAGCTAAAATAAGGACTTACAAACAATTATCATGGCCGGTCACCCACGGCTTACACAAAAAAACCTGACAAAATGCCGAAGCCTGGATGAAACCACTTGACCAGCGTGGTGACTTACTTCAAAACGTTCATCCACCAGTCAACAATGATCGACATGGTGGGAGACACTTTCCCCTTTTACACGTATGAGAAATACTTTTTGGGGGAGATAATTCCACTGTAAACTTTCCATTTCTTTTCAGGTGATTGTTGTCACTGTTACATTGTAATACAAAAATAAATCAAGCTGGACTCATTATCAAAATGAATCAAGCTTTTTTCAAATGATATTCTATAAGTTGGAAGGGAAGAACCTTTGAAAGGTATCCCATTCCCAGATACCAGTACTGACATCGCCATCGACCGTATATATATATATATATATATATATATATATATACGCACACACACACACACACACACATCTATATACATCATCGTGTCAAACCGTCAGCCCCTGACAAGAAGCCCTTCTCTGACATATTGCTTAAAGCTCTCCAGCTGTCAGCAGTGATTTAGCTCGTCCATAACTTCATATCGGTAGGTGTGAGGTATTAAAACCACACTATACCATCATCTGCATTTCTCTTAAAGCCGTGTGTGCACGTGGAGAAGGAAAAACAGGGGGGGGGGGGGGGGGGGGGGGCGATGTCGCAACGCGCGCGCGGACAGCAGTTGCTCCGTTTTTTGTTTTTTTTGTAACAAGTTCTACCGGTTTGTAACGATTCGTTCCATAACGGGAGTAGGTCAAGTGCTTCATCAACACACATTGTTTCAACGCGAGGGAAAACACATGTAGCACGCGACGAGAGAATTGGAGGTTCAACTGGGATTTTGTTTCGAGAAAAAACAGGGGTACCAACAAAAAAAAAAAAAAAAACGTGGCACGTTTCATTAACGAATATAAACGCGTTTTTTTTTGTTTCTTCGCGGCATAAGTTGGACAAACAGCGTGTTTCGCGGCCCCTTCGCCCACTTGACCCGGACGCCGTTGTGACTGAACTTCACCCACCTTCTCCTTGTTGTCGTGCTCCGACGGAGGCGAAGTTGGGGATTTAACGCTCCCCACGGCAACAGCCGGCGTGACCGCGACTCCGCCGCCCGGAGCCGGGCTGCTCTTCTCCATCGTTTCCACCTTGATAAGTCGGTGCTTCGGGGACACGTACTTGATGTCCGGCGACCCCCCGCTGTTTAAGCCCGGGCCATAGGAAATGTTTCCACCTGGAGTGTACGGGTCCTCGAAGTCGCGCTCCTTCTGCAGTTTGTAGGCAGCGACGATGTCCGGTTGCGCGGGGCTCGGGAAGCCGACCCCGCAGCCGGTTTGTTGGTAGCCGGGCGCACCGGGCACGGTGCCGGTGAGACACAGTCTGTAGTCCGGTTTCGGAGGCGCCGGAGGGGGTGCTTTGGTAGTTTTGAATCCTAGGTGCTCCTTCAACCACTTGGCCATGCTGCCAGAGCATCGCTCTCCAGTCAATGAATGTAGTTTAATTCCACCGCTTTTTTTTTTTTCCTGCCCCGCGGCCAGCCGACCGGTGTCGGGAGCGTGTCGCGAGTCTCGTGCCACCGCGTCTGTCCCGGAGAGGAGCGCGCGAGCAGGAGCTGGTGTGTAGAAAGGGGGGGGTGGGAGCAGGAGGAGGAGCAGGGGGGGGGGGGGGGTGTATTGGGAACAGGGATTTGGGGCAAAAGGCCATTCTGAACTCGCTTTCCCGTACCCTGTCACTTCGGGGGAAATTTTAATTTCAAACAAATGCACTTGGGAGCCCTTTGTCCTAAAGAATTAATTCCCCCCCGTCCACACACACGCAGACACACACACGCAGACACAGACACACACACTCCACTCCCCTACAACTTTGCCTTCTCCACTTGAGAACATTCACTGCCACCTACCGGTTTTACGAAACCCCGCTAGTTTTTACTACTGAGAATGGGCGCCACGCTGCGCAGATGTGGTCAAATATGTATTTTGTGTTTTATTTTCAATTATTACAATTCCGCTTATTCTTAATTATTCAGTTGAGTAGAAGGTCCGACATGAAAAGACACGAAATTGCACATTTTACTAAACGTTTAAACATCGTACCTACATCCGATCAGCGTGTTGAGCGGAGCTATCTGCAGACGTGCGCATGCGCGGTGGAAAACGTTTTTCTATTCCTCGTTTTCTTCTCGTTCGGGCTTTTTAGAGCGTGTTTGCTTTAAAGCCCTTTCAGGTCAACATTTTTCCCAGCAAAAGGGTAGAATGTTATGTGCTCATTCTCAGTGCTCTCATCTCCAGATGGCCGCTGCGGAGCGTTTTAATTGCAAATTGCATTGCAAATGACTGGTGGAGAGGGATGCTGGAGCCTATATTACCTCTGGACATTGTGGACTGGACTACCTAAGTTCATTACGCCAAGCATGAGTTGTGGATGTGGATTGCTTGGAGCATCAATGCAAGTAAACAGTTGCAAGTAATCAGAAAGGTGTCTCTCAGTATTTTTCACTGTAGGGTCAATGGTTTAAATGCTTAACAATAATGGCCTTTGCAATCAAAGGATAGATGAAAAAAAAACGTTCAATTTCACCTCCCAGAGACATACACCAACAACATTCTGCATTAACAGGAGTCATGGCTGCAGTGCAGCAGGTTTTTATGAAGCAATATTTCTTTTTAATGACACACGCGCACACACACACACACACACACACACACACACACACACACACACACACAGTCTACAGATCAGAGTTTAACCCTCGCAGGCCCCGAGGGGAGACAACTCCATGCACCGGGGATCAAAACTAAATCTATTATTTCTTTCCTGAAATCCTGCCATCACTGCACTTTGGGCATGCAGAGAGAGAAATTTGACCAGTGCAATTTTCCCCTGCACTTTAAAGGAATAATTTCCCTCCACAGGCAGGACATTAATCTGTTTAAATAGTCAATATACATAAAAGCTTGAAATGGAGAAAAACAAGCAAAATTGGTTCAGATGGCCTGGCACTGGTCGTTCTTGTTGCGAGATCTGGGGAAAATGAGGAAAAATTCAGAAAAAAGAGAAAAGCTTGTTCCAGTTCAGACATTACATGGTGTATGTGTAACTCAGGGTTGCGTTTCTATGTACAGAGTATGATATATAGTCGGTGCTCGGAACTAATAGCCTGTCTCATGCTGTAAGTATAGGATCCGTGGTTAGCAGGAGCGTCATTTAGGTTCATCACAGATCATTCAATTCATTGCTACAGATGCATTCACAAATTTCCTCCAGCTGCCATCGCTGACACCCTTTAAAATGCAAATCCTGTAATCCAGCACCTCACAGGACTCAAACAGACTCCTAAGGAGGCAGATGTCTTGCCAGGAGGAATGTATGTAGAAATGTAAGGGATTCTGCTTAAATTACATTTAAAATTATGTGATAGGTGGTAGAGCACTGGCGCATACTCGTCAATACATTTCAACTTGACATTTAGCAACTGATTGTTATTTGAGATGTTTGTCAGGTACAAGAAACGTATTTAAATACCGCAGATGTACACTTTTAGACGCTGGCATTTAATCTGGAAAATAGTTCTCATTATCAACAGACTGCCATGACCTTGACTGGCTAGTCTGTTAGTGTTTGTCAGCCTGTTACCTGCTCTCGCTCAGAGCAGCATCGCTTAATGAACTATCAACCAGCAGGGTGCAGATTTCACACACACTTTTTTTTTTCTAACGTTTGCCAATGATTGGGATGTCGGCATGTAGGACATTTCGCTTAAAAAAAGCTTGACATTTCAAAAATAATGACAACTTTGGTTTGTTACTGGATAGTTAACTTGCTAATGTCTTCAATAGTTGCTCCACAGCTCAAACGTTTGACCTGTTGTGCAAGAGATGGGAGGTGTTTATTTTTCTCTTTAAGTCTGCTGGCTGCTGGAAACGCGTTCACAGCAGCACCAGCAAATCTCTTTGTATAAATGATATAATATCTCCTAGTCCGATCTTCTGTATTTTGTGTGACATGTTACTAGTGTATCGGTTGGGTTTGCTACACCACAATGATTAGTTGTTGGATGCTCTAAGCACAGCTTTCATTTTCGGGATGCTTGTTCTCTTGCGTTAGCAAATTCCACAATATATTTGTGCAGAATGAGTCTGAATGCCAAAATATTTCAGTAAAACTATGTTCTGTATAACTGTGCCAACAGGAAAATGTGCCAGCTTACCTTGAAACGTTAACATTCTTCTAGTGCTTTAGAAAAGACTGATGGACCGTTATACTTCTGATCGCTTAGGCTATAACTGTGTCAAAGGAAGCACCTAAAAATAAATTACGATGAAAAAAAAATGAGCACCTAAAATTTAGATGTTTGTTCATAATGTAATGTAAACATTTGTCATGCTAAATTCTACTTCAGCGTGTCAGGTAGACATCGGTTGATCCTACCCTGAAATAAATTGAGCAAATAACACTAAGGAGAAAAACATATTAAACTGTGTGGTAACAGCTAGTTATTAATGATTCTCTGCTATACTGAAATAAAATTGCACTGCTGCCCTCTCCTGCCACATCACTCCCATGGGCAACACACAATATATCCTCACACACCTGTGTCATATTGCTTTGGCTCGTAAGTTATCAAACTGGTCTTTCTTTAACATAAATTATAAATACAAAACATTTATTCCCCTTTTCTGGTAAACTAGTACATCAGAACTGCAGGCGTCTCCATGGAAACATGCTTAATAGATTTAATCAGTTGCAAAAAGAACAAAAGCTGTATCTTTCAAGCAGGTTTTTACTGGTTTCTCCAGACGGGAACATCTGTGGGGGTGTTAGTCTCCTGTCTATCAACATCCGAGGGCCTTAAGCAAATAGATCAATATCTAAAGCTCATGTTGACAGTAGTAGAGTCTGGTTACACTGGAAAGCTCCCACTGTGAATGCACTGTGGGGAAAAACAAAGTGAAAGCAGTGCTGATCAAAAAAAAAAAAAAAAAAAAAAAAGTCACGTCACACCCTGCGGCTCCATCCCTTGTGTTTCAGCCAGTGTGTGCACCACTTTCCATTTCTTCAGTCTCACTGCACAGGTTTGTTTACTTTCTCATACCTGTCAATCAAAACGCAGGCGCAGACTGTAAGAGAGTTCCTTTAGCTTCTCTTCCAGCGAACTGTGTGGCTTGTCCCCTTTTTGTCGTTCCAGACAGTCTGGCCCCAGTTGAGATGAAATGAAGTATTAATGGGCACCTCTGCTGTGAAGGGAGGACAAGGACATATTACTAATCTGATTCATGTGTGTGTGCGCAGGTACTGTAAGGCTTACAGGTATTAGAACCCAAAAGCACAACTCCGAGGCAGAATCCAATCAAAAGTTCTTTACTTATACAGGCAGGGTCAAAACCGGGATAGCAGTCCAATGGTCAAACAAATCCAGAGGGGCAGGCAGCAAATCCGTAAACGGGGACAGGCAGGGTTCAGAAACAGGATGGCAATCCGACAGGCAAACAAATCCAAAAGGCGAGGCATGCGAAGAGTTTGTGGTCAAGAGAAGGCAGGCTAGTTCAGGACGGGATATCGGTAATCGGAAAACCGCCGGAAAACCGCCGGAAAACCGCCGGAAAACTTGGCATGCACACAAGACAATCTGGAAGTGTGGGGACCTAAATAGTGAGGGGCTAATGAGGGAATGGGTTGCAGGTGGGAAGGGCATGAGGACCAGGTGAAGAGAATGAGGTGATTTCTTGTTGATGACAGGATCTGGAATGACAACGAGTAGAGTTAATTGACAAGAACGCAGGCAGGAAAACACTAATAAGATGGAGAATTCGTGACACGTACGCATCGATATGAGCTGAACGCGCGTCGGCGGACTTTGATGGCGACAGTGGAAGCAGGTGCAGTATATTGCAGCGAGAAGCTTGACCTGAGTAGTAGATTTGTCAAGGAATGCGACGGGTCAGAGGCCAAATAAGTCTGACAGCTGATAATATAGTGTAATATAATCAAAGGTAAAAGAGCAGATGTACTACGTCTAAAGTAAAACTTGTGTGAGCTTTCAGAGGGTTATTCAATCCTATTAACGTCAGTATTCATACTCAGTATGTAAGTATTTGGATCAAGAGTAGTGATACTCAAAGAATTGACCCCCCCGTCCCCATGGAAACCGTTGAAGGTTGGGTGACTTTCACTTTAAAGAGAGTAACTATTCCTACACACCTTTTTGTCCCAGTGCTCCGACACACTTTTCCCCTTGTGTCCTATAAAGCATTAAATGTGCATAGTTCAGTTATTAAAGTTCATATTCAAACTCTGCAGAGGTGATCTCCGAGCTTTTAATGCGTGGAGCTTGAAAATGTCCTCCTACGAATAAAATCACGATGCATGTGAGATTTTTTTTTGCTGCGGTTTCGCATACTCGGGTGTGACTAAAATCAGCAGGATGATCTCTTTGGGATCCATGTGTCAGACCTGTATCATACATCCGGGCTGAGATGGCCTACGTTTTCATGGAATCATTCAAGGCATTTCTCCGGAACTCCTAAAAGATTATTCCTCACACTGTTGCACCAATCAGCTGTTTTTTGCAGGGCAAACAGAGTATCAGCAGACTGGCTCAGTGAGGAGAACAGAGGGAATCTCAGGCATTTGATGTTGGCCGAGTGTGGCCGTTCCTTAGCGGCGGCTTCGCTGCCTTTTTAGAGTCCCAGCTTCAGGCCGTCCCCTGATCCCCTCGTGTCCCACACGACTCTCCTTATTGAATGCTTGCCAAATCTAATAGCAGTGAAACAATTATTTTAAAAGGATGTATGTATTTTATTCTCCTAAATATGTTCTGCCAGCCTTAGTTTAATGATTCTTTCCTTACTCCAGCGAGCAAACAAAAATGTGTTGGCAGGAGAAGCCCTCCAGTCGACATTTTACCTTTCGAACCCGCCTAAGTATGTCACCCAGTTTGATAGAATCCACACCGTAGAGCCGTGCGAAATAAGGATTTACTGCCCATTAACTGGGATCCCAGTGTGCAGTCGGAACGCTTAAGATGCTGTGAACCCTTGCTGCAATGCAAGCAGAGAATTTGGCATACAAATTGAGTGATTTATGGCCTTGAGGAAGAACATGAAAGGAAAGGGCACAGATTAAATGCTGATGTGCAATTTTTGAAGATGACCAACATAATTTAGTAATAAATCAAAATAAACGAGAAAAATATAAGAAACCATCCTGCAGCTGAAGTGACTTTCATGTGTAAGCCCGACGACGACTGTTTGTTTGGTTATTAGGAATGTGAGAGGATTCTCTGTGAGCCAGCATAGCTCGCCGGCTCGCCCCTTGACCCGTGGTGACGCAGTCAAGGGCCTCTGATTTGTCAAGATGTACTGAAGGCGCTTATCACTCCTTTCTCACTCATTCACCTTTATAAACGCACTCATGCAAAACCAAATTTAGACACAATATGTTGTCGTTATCAAAAATGAATAAAGGCCTGCTGTGGTTTCAAAACAAAATCCCTGTCACCAAGGATGTTTAAAGAAATACATTTTTATTATACAATATTTACTGTTTGTAAAATACAAAATCTGCAGCCAGTGATAATCATCTCCATATCTTGTTTTTTTTCTCCTCTCCCTCTGGTTCCCGTGCCAACAAAATGATTATTATGTTGGTCATGCTTCACCTTGAATGCGATTTCATTATTCCAAAGCACAATCACCAAAGTGAGACTTGCCAACAGTTAAACTCATATTGATTGCTATGCTGGAGGGCAGAGTGATTGGATACCCCCCATCGTCCCTTCCCTCCCCGCCCATCACACCTACTCTCATTTTCTTTTTCATTTTAATTTCAATTTCTAATGTCTTTTTCAGACGAGGAAAATGTCCAACTGTGCAGGTAAACTGTGGCTAGTGTGCGATAAGGTGAATATGGCAATCTTAAAGACTGTTCTCATAGCAAGCTATTAGTGCAAGTCTCCATGGCTGCTCTCAGGCCCCGGGTATATACTGTATACTGATGAGGGGGAAATTAGCTTGATGACTATAAAGAGCCGTGGAAAGTCTCTGAGCTGTGATTTTGGGGGGCTGTAAAAGATAAGAAATGTTACCCCGCGTTTCTTTTTGCATTGCGATTTGTTATTCTAGTGTGTCTTCAATGGCTGCTTGTATGTTACAACCGACCAACTTGCTTATTGGGGTGTCCACTTCCATCACACTGATGGCAGTCTATTTCTTCTCCTATGGGTCAGTGAGGTGCTTTAATCAGAGCATTCAACAATGAAGGTGATACATATGCCCCTTCGCCTGCTCTCATCTACATCTACGTACGTAAAATTATAACTTCATGTCCGTATAAACAATCGTGATTCCACTATGATTGTATTAATTATATATTGCTCTAAGCCATGTTGTTGTTGGCTTTCGCCCATGAATCTTTAATGCATCAATAGCTCGTTTGTCTTTTAATTGCATATTGATTCAGCCAATTCAATGTGGATGTACTTTTTTGGTCAATTCCCTTTAAGACAGCACAAATCCCTGTAGCCTGATAATAGCCTGATGCAGTCTTTATTTTCCCTCCAGAGGTGTATGAAAACATTTCTTTGGCGCATAATGCTCATTAGCATACCTTTGGAATTTGTTGAGCACTGATAGTTTGCTGTTTACTGGACACATGACGACAAAGGCGGGGTTGTGGCAATACACGGATGCCAAAAGAGTGCTGTGAGATTTCACATGGCAGCAAACATGAACATCCGGCGTTGTTGAGTACCTCTCCAACACCTTCCCAGACAAATTAGACACAGCTCACTAGCACTCAATGGGCTTCGCCCCTGGGAAATTATCACACGATAATGGGCTTCCCATATTCCCTTTTGTTCTGAGGGGGAAATGGATAAAGTGAGAAAAAAATAGTTTGATGACTTCGCTAGAACCCCCCCTCCTCCATCAAAAAAAACAAGAGCTTTGAATGACAAGTCATTTTCTCGCAGGTTTCTCAATGCACAGTTGGATCCCCGGGACTCCATAGAACTGTTTTTTTTCAGTGTTTTCAAGATGATGGATGCTCGGTGGGTAATGTAGGTGACAGGAGGATGTCAAGGCTGCTGCATGGCTGCTCAATGGCTGACGACTTGCCACCGGCAGCCGTAACCACAGCCTCATTACACACATAGCACGAGCTAAACTCTTTATCCTTTAGCATGAGCGCGAGACAGGTGATCTCAATAGTCTTGCTCGATTAACTAGGAGGATTTACATCCTTGTCCTGTTAGGTGGGAGTCTGTTAAGGATTCCAATCTATAAATGAGGATATCATAAAAAATAACTGCCTAGAATGCTGCAGGTAACGCCACACTCTGAGGTGCACAAGCAAAGACGTTAAATAACCCTCTTGAGAAATGCCAAAAAAGATGTTCATCGCATACAAAATTGAGAAAGCGCTTTCTTTTAGGGATGTTTTCTTGCAGGAGTCTTATTTGCATATGAGTGTGGAGCGGCACAGGTGGGCAGCGTCGACCCCTGTTATCAAGATGCACTGACCCGTTTCAAGCTGTTGACCCACACAAGCCAGGGCGCGTTTCTTTGGCGACTACTGTTTAGTGAGAGGATGAAGACGACAGTTGGAGTGCTGAAAAAAATGAATAATGTCAAACCCACATAAGGAATACAGGAATCGTGTATTGGATGAAGTGTGCGTTATTATCTCATATCTCATACCGGGAATCTCCTTTTTTTTCTATTACCACCACAACAACATTAAATAATAAATTGTGATTTGCTGCCTTTCCTGTTTTGAATAACATTAGATGTGTATCTATATGGGTATGGATAGAACAAGCGCTTTGAGGAAATGACTCTGATCTGGTCGCATACTCGCGGCTCTGTGAGGCTATACTGACCCACTACTGGGTTGGCTAAGTGTAAGCTAAGTATGCTAACCAGGGCAATAATAGGATGTTAACTGTTTAGAGAAACGTATGCGACATCCAGTATGTAGACTCACTTCCCCAGTGATCTCTACTGATTAAATCAGTGAGTCTGTTAGCCTGATGGCAGAGCACACACTAGACGAATGAGTATTTCCCATTGAAAGACCCAGATGTGTTTTCTCTGGGAAACGGCCACCTTGGCAATAACCAGCGGTAGTTTATTAGATGTATCTTTATGTGCTGTGAAAGCTGTGAAAGCTGGAGGTAGTTGTCTTACCCATCCTCCTCTCTCCGACTATTGCCTCGCAGCAGCTGTAATTCTGAGCCTGTTAGGCTGATAGCAGATGTCTGAAGACCTCACATTTTCTACATTAATCCGAGCAATGTGGAGTACCGATCATTCGTTACATTCTTACAGTAAAAAATAAAAAATTCTGAATCCCTTGACCTCTGATTTCTATCACCGCAGACGGCCTGTTGTCCATGAATTCCCCACGTTCCTTCTTTCACAACATTATCACACGCGTCATTGAAAATACCGTACGTATGGTGTGAAGAATTCAAAATCCAGGAATGACCTTTTTAGGCCCATAACACAGAATTCTTTGAGACACACTTCTGTGATATCCAGCATGACCGTGACGCTGGTTGTCTTTGGGAACATCGGACTAGAACTGATGGACTGACTGTGATTCCACAAGAGTTTGGAACATTTCATAGTTGAATACTTACAGGCTCAACTGTCGACACACACATCTTGGCTCCACTCCACTCTCAGGTTAAGGCTTTAATCCGATCCAGTTTGGTGGTAGAAGGCGGCCAATTGAGTTTGTGACCAGACGTTCACCAAACTGAGGTCAACTCGTAAAGTAATTGAACAATTCTTAAAAAAAGAAAAGAAAATGGATATCAAGGTCAGACAAGCAGTGTGTGATGATTTTCTTTAAAATAACAATAACATGCGTTTGGAATATGTTAAAGGTTTTGAATATGCTTTCAAATAACTTGATGTATAAGCGATATATAAGAAGCGACATTAACCCAAGAACGCAGGAGGAGGACATTAGGAAGGTATTTTGTCCAGCAGATATGGATGCACTGAGACCAGCATCGTATTAGATCCTGGCATCCAAAGTGTTGTCAAATGTAACTTGGCATTGGTTCATCCATACCAGCAGTGTTACAGTAAGTGTGAAAGGGGACTTATTTTGCATTTGTGCAGACCAGCTTTGGCATGACTATATTGAGTTCCAGGAGCGATGTGCACCTTTCTTTGCTTCCCTCAGGATACCAATCGCTGTGACAGCTCCTCCCCTGAGAGAAGCGTCTGTATCTTCACCAGAGAGAAAGTTCTGTGAAGAACGAAGAGAGAGAGAGAGGAAGAAAATGAGAGTTTCTGTACTAAAAATATCCATATGCACCAAGGTAGTCCACTATGCTACCGGGTCATGACCTTTGCACTTTCTTTTATGGCTTGAATTAAAAGTGTGGCAGAAATTAAGAAAACTGGAACTGAAGGTACAATATATCATAGTGTCTTAAGAGTGATATATATATTTAATGGTAGAAAAGGGAAATGGTTGAGGTAAAAAACCAATTTCTTCTGTTTTCATTAATCAATAGCCATTTTTTCCTTTTCAAAAGGTGAAGTGCTAATACTGCCATTAATGCTGGAGACAGACATGTGACCAGATCACAATCTATAGTTCAGGACTGCATAAATCGATGACGGATCCATACATTTGCCGTTGCAGACGATTCTTTTACCATGCAGGGCTCCATTTTCATCATTCCCTCAGATGGATGCACGGCATGTCCCATCTGACGGAGCATAATTAGCACCCAGTGATAAAACCAAGTCCCGCGGGAGCTGTCCACTCACAATATATTTAATTGAAGCAAATCATATAAAAGGATAAATTGTGAGTTATATTGAGCTGCCATGACCAAAGGGTTCAACCATAAAGTATTATACACGGCACAGTCATTTTCTTTGGAGCATTCATTAAATAAAATGGCTCCAGGCAAAGGACTCAGACGGAGGTGCTCACTCGACCACCTCCTACTCCAGCTCCTCCTCCCAACAACAATGTGTGTGGATGCAGACTTGTAATGTGAACGTGCTTTTTCGCTGCAGTATTTCTTACAGTCTGTACTCACCTTTCTGACCTGGTCTGTCTGAAAGCATTCAGAGGTCAGGGCTTCTGGAGACAGGCTGCTGGGGGTTCTGATCCACTGACTTTTATCAGC